TAAAAAATAGACACCTACTTTTACACACTAAAAACTATATTATAACCTAACTGTTCCTATAAACCTTACTTCGCATATAAATAACATTTAACACATTAGATATACAATATTTTCACTGTACACTCTTACTACATTCTTTCCATTTCATTAATATATTGGTGTCATTAGAAGAATACACTAAACCACTAAATCGAAAAAAATATACGCAAACATAATGATTCCGGCCTCGCGCTTGCGCGGGGAGTATGCAACTAGTAAACCTAGTAAAACGGCTAAAAATCTGTAAAACTTGTAAACAGATCAACTTCAAAACCAGTTCTAAAAATCAACATATAATTAATGTATTTTCAGTTGTTATTAAATCTAATAATTCAAAATACATGTTTGATTATCATTATTTAATTATTTTAATTTTAATATTATTTTATTACCAAAAATGTAAAAAAATATATCTTTTTAACTCTCATATATTATTGTTATTTTGTTATTTTTATAAAATTTGAAACTTTAGTTATAAAAATAAATAAATATGGTAATCTGAACGGTCAATCATTGTTTTTGTCATCAATTTATATAGTATTCACTTTTTTACTATATATATTGCTAGTTTTATGTTTACTGTTTTATGTAGAACTCTCTTTTAGGTCCATATAGCGTAAATATATGAGTATATATATTTAACTTTTATGTTTCAAAAAAATATTTAACTTTTAAAAATAAAAAAAACTGGTTCGAGTAGCTATATCACGTCGATATCCTGTCCCGTTTTTAAAACATTGGTTCAAGGGTACATCGATATATATGGCTTGTTTTGATTTGCAGGTCAGCGGTTCGACCTTGATTGACTTAGCCGAACTGGAAGACAGATTAACCAGAATGAAGTAAGTGGATTTTTCTGTTTGTTAAATGATATTTTAAGTGATGTAAATGGTTGTTGAGTTGGTTTCTTTTAACTTATCAAGCGACGATCGAGTAAGCACGTGGTTATTTTATTTATATTTGAATTGTTTTGTGTTCACTTTGCATCTATTTGTAACTATTTATTTATTCCATTTGGATTGGGTGTTATTAGCTCGCTCAGTTGTGTTTATGACCGACATCACATACGTAAGAGGAGTAACTATAGTTGTATGACTATATTTCTGTTTGTTAAATGATATTCCCATATGATTTATATTGTATGTCGGATTGATTCAAAATAAAGACATGTAGCAGCAGTCATCAGTCAAAAAAAAAAGACATGTAGCAGCAGTTATAGTTGTTTTGAACTTAATGATATTGAATGATCACGAGATCGCCGGTGGCCATGAGAAGTGATGATAATGAAGACATGTTACATTGGTAGAAGACTTGACGTGCTGATGATGTTACAATGGGTAGAAGCCATTAACGCTTGACCTCAAACGAATGATTTTTTTTTCTTTAGAATTTGAAATATGAAGAACAGTAAATAGTGATTCACAGGTTTTAGATCTCTGCTCCCATACCATAATAGATTGATGAAAGTAGAGAATTGGAATAAATATTATTAACTCTCATAAAGAAAGATTATGTTATGCATATGCTTATATAGAGAATTCTGCTGATTTTTTTGATAACCAAATTAAGAAAAACTATTCAGGGTGCAAATAAAGGAGAAAAACCTGAATGGAATTGATTATTATTCTATATTTCTCTATTAATACACTGTTTAAAATGAATTTTCATTTCTCTAAACTTTATTAGGTTTCACCAACTAAATGGAAAATCAGACCAATTGTGCTAAAATTTGGTACTCTTCAGAAGCGTTTGAAGAAAACGGTGGAAATAAACTAAAAGACAAAATGTACAAAATAATTCCTCTCATTTTTTTTCCATTCATTAGTATTTTGTCATACAACTTATATATTTAGCTACTACCATTTGTACTGAAATTAATTATGTGTTAGAGTCAAATCGTACTAGTGAAAATCTTTATATATAAAGTATAGTTTATTCCCTCTAGGATGTCCTAACTCATCAATTCGTTTAGCACCAGTGCAACACATGTCCTTTTAGTTATACAAAGCATTTAACACACACCTCACGATTTCTAGGTTTTATGTCAAAACTCCAAGCTGTCTTATGTTCTTCTTCGATTCATCTTCCCAGCGACAAAAATCTGCGAAATGTTACTGAATCATGTTTAATCCAAGCGTCATCTTTAATGCAATTATGCATCCTCCTTTATTCCCTTCCTCTGAATATTCGAGTATAAAAGGGTTGCTCTCTACAATGAAATTCATCAACTCAATCATCTCAATCATAAGCTTTTTATTGATCCAGTGATAAATATAGCTAACTCGACTGTTCTCATCCGTGATTTAAAGATAGGCCGTTGTACCTCCACTGTCGAGGCTCGCCTCCCTCTTGTGACGATCATTGAATCCCGTCGCAACCTCCCTCTTGCGTAAGATCTATATTTATCAGTTTATTTATAAAAAAAAATTTGTCATTCGCTCATGATCCTATTTAGCTGTCTGGCATGATAAACTTTGCATATTTGAGTTGTTCAGTAGATTCTCGCTTATAACTTCGTCACCTGAACAAATGAATATTTGGGCTGCCTCTGACTGTTCTTCTAATAGATACATGGTGGAGATATAGGGTTGCTCAGAGCGTAAATAATTTGATTCATATGAGATGAATAATGGATTGCTAAGTTCGCTGCGAGCTCTAAATTTCTCTCCTCATGTTTTATGCCATTTTTAACAGTAGCACTGCAGTATAAGACAAGCCATATTGATGAGCCAAGCTTTGCATAAACTGAGGCATTCTTTGTAGTTATCGCTAAAACTTATCATTTTTTCAAATCAGGTTTAGTATCTCTGTAGGTAGATTTATAGAACTATGTTAGTTTCAAGAACTCAACTTTAATAACCTATGTTGATTACAGCAGACTGAAATATGTGTCTTTCAGTTACAGCGAAACGGAGCAACCTCAACTTCAAACTGTCTAACTATACTCTATCAATGTCAACCGCGACGATTTCTCCGTAGCTCAAGCCAATCGCTTCTTCACAAGGCTCACTGAGAAAGAGGTTTTTGTTCATATTTTCTTTGTGGTCTTCTAAGTGATTCGTGTCTGAATCCTAAAAATATTGAATTCATGTATGAGAGAGTCATCAAGTGTAACTAAAATCTTACAAAACAATGAACACACATGGTCTGTGTTGAAACTGTTGGAAGTAGTGAAAAAGTTTGATAATAGGTTTATGTTATATAGTTTGGGTTTTAATTTTCAGGCTTTTAAATAGAAGCAGAGTATTCATTTATTAGTAAGTCGTTTAACTGGTCAGGGTGATAAACAGCCAAATGAAGCCACTTACATGTTTGCACAACATAGCAACATTTAACTTATGATAACGTCCATGCAAAACTGTAATGATGCATATCTTTTA